TCAGCGCGCCGTGCGGCACTTCCGTTTCCGCCCCGCGAGTTCCGGCCCCGCTCGGTCCGTCCCATCCCGGTTTCCCTTCCGCTCCCTCTCGGTCCTTCCTCCGCTCCCTCCCGGTTCTTCCACTCCCTCCAGATCCCCACCCCGCATCCTCCTCCCGCTGTCCTTCCCGGTCCCTCCGGTGTCCTTCCCGCTTCCTCCTGCTCCTCTCCCGGTGTCCTCTCGTTCTCTCCAGATTCCCACCGAGCTCCTCCTCCCATCCCTCACAGCTCCCCACCCTGTGTCCTTCCCCGTGTTCTTTCCGCTCCCTCCCGGTGCTTCCTGGTCCCTCCGCTCTCTCACGGTGCTTTCCAGTCCCTTCTGGTCCCTTCAGATCCCCTCGGTGTCCTTCCCGCTCCCTCTTAGTCCTTCCCGCTCCTTCCGTCTCCACTCCGGTCCTTCCCGCTCCCTCTCAATTCTTCCGCTCCTTCCCGGTATCCCTCCCGGTTTCTTCTGCTCCCTCCCGGTCCTTCGCGGTCCCTCCCGGTGTGCCTCCCTCGTATTCCCGGTCGCTCCTTCTCCTTTCCAGTCCCTCTGCTCTTTCCCACTCCCTCTGCTCCTTCCCTCTTCCCCTCCCGGTAGTTCCCGGTGCCGTGTCGTTCCCTCGCAGCCTTTCGAAGGCCTTTCGAAGCTCTTTTCAGCGTAACCATCGCGTTAAAAACCTCTTTTCAATAACTAAAGGCCTGTAAAGTGCTGGTTGTCTCGTGGCTGCTGTCCCACAGCTGTTTGGGTAAGAGGAAAGCGTGAGCCAGCACTTAATTTTATCATCATTACCCTTATTTTATTACATATGCAGCTTTTATTAGCGTTTTTATAATCATTTTTATCCTTTATAACCCATTTTGAAAGCTGGCTGTTCAAAAAGTTACCTGTTATTCCCCAGGCTTGAAGCTGTGGATGCTTCAGTGAGTGAATTGTCATTTAGGAAGCATAAAGGAAGTTTAGCAAACATCCTGAGGATGTTTTCCTTGCTGTGACAATGTTAATTGTGATTAAACTACATGTGAAGTGTGGTGGTGGTGGCATTAAAATCCCCCTTGCTGCCTTTCCTCCCCTCTAATCACCTTTGCTAATCAGCTAAGCTGAAATTGGGCTGTTATCCTGGTGATGCTTGTTAGAAACACAGTGAGGAACCTCCAGTTCAACGTGTGAATTCCAAGCAGAGAGTGGGAAAAGGAGATGCTGGTGGTGTGCTGGGTGAGAGGGGCAGAATTCCATGTGATCATGAAGGATCCCAAGTTTATTTCCCTTCCAAGCCAAACCCAGCTGTGATCCTATGAAATTCCTCTCCTTGGGGAAATCCAGTCCTCTCACTCCAGCATCCAAGCTGGTCCCAAAAAGAAGAGCAGCCTAAACCTCTTGGTTTTGTTCCACTCGAAGTGCTTCTAGGCAACTCTGAATAACAAGGACACTGAAATGGAATAAACTTTCCTGAATATCATGGTTTTCCAAGAACTGAATTTACTCTTTCTTAATTACTCATTAAGCAGAGATTTTGGTGACAATTCCAAATGTTTTTCCTCAACCAGAAAAGTCATTTGTGGGTTTTATTGGTGTGGCAGCAGCACAGGGAAGCTGGGAGGAAACCGGAGACTTGAATGGAAGATCTAGGGAATCATTCCTAGTGGTACTGTAAGTATTTAGGAATACAGTAAGAAGGAAGAGGATAATTCTTGCCTCTAGGCCCCAAAGTTTTAATTACTAAGACATCTCCCTGCAGTTTTTCACTCAGCAGAGAGTGTAAAGAGAAAGCAACTCTGCTAGGGGTTGTGTGCCTGGGAGTGAAAGGGATTTATTGTGAATTCTGGGCCATGTTTAACATCTCATGGTTATTTTTTGTAAGTTCTGGCCCGTGTTGAATGGGTCAGAGTGTATTTTCTTTGGTTTGGGGGGCTAAAGGCCTTATCAGAGCCCTTTGGTACCTTACCAGAGCTCTTTCCTGGCCTCCTAGCCCAGGTTTTAGGGGTTTGTTAACCAATACCTGAGAGAAACTTGTAATTATTAAAGTGCACTAAGAGATCTGTTGGTGCTTGAAAGCTATGTGGATTGGGCTCTGAGTGTCCTGGATTGCTCTGTGTCCAGGCACAGATCCATGACCTTGGGGGTATGTTGGGAATCATTAGTCCAGGGCCTTTGTTCTACTTTGCTTGCAGAGCTGGATTTGGAGCATGGAGCCCATCTCCCTGCCTGAACCAGGGATTCCTGCAGCAGAGAGCTCATCTGTGCCACAGGAAACATTCCATGTGCTGGTGGGGGTGACTGGGAGTGTGGCTGCCCTGAAGCTGCCCCTGCTGATCGCTGAACTGCTGAAAATCCCTGGGGTGAGTGAAGCTGTTGGTGAAGCTCTGTAAAGTTGGTTTTTGAGTAGAGATCGCTTGGGTTCTGCAGGGAGAAACGTTCCTCCTAGGAGCCCTTTAGTTTGAAAATTTCTTGGAGGAGGATTATTGGTTTTCCTGCCATTTAACACTTGAAAAGGTCTTAACTTTGGGTGGTTTTATTCTGGGACTTGACCTTGTCTACCAGATTATCAGATGTGGCTCCAGACAGAGGTGGTGCTTCTGGACTTGAATTCTTCAGGACAGTGCAGTTTCCCTCAGTGGGAAGTGGATTTTCCAAACACAAACACTGCTGTCTGACCAAGGGAGGGAAAGCAGACCTTGGAAAACCAGAAATAGAAGCTATAAGCTGCTCTATGTGTCTCTGTAGTGTTTGTTTTACTCTTTCCTGTCTGGAGTAACAATGGTGCCCAGCAGAGGCCACTGGTGACTGCTCAGGGAGGGAAATGTGCTCTTTGCTGCTGGAGAATAAAGTCAGAGGAAACTTTCCAGCAATGAAGCAAGTATTTTGGCACAGTGAACTCAAAAGAGTGGCAAGTGCAGGAGGCTGCACTTAAATATGCAGCTATATTGGTTAGATTCCTTCATGGAGATCCTTTAGGATGATTTGGAAGGCTTTACTTCGTGGATGCATTGATGTAGAGGCAGATGAGGTGCTGATTGAGCTGGTTGATGTTGATATCCAAGCTGGAAAGGATCCTGGAGGTGAGGCATGGGTTGCAAAGAGAGGCTTCAGTTGATTTATTGCTTGACCTGAATCGATTAGCAAGGCCACAGGTCCCAGACTAAAGGAAGAAGGACAAACCAAAATGACATGAAGGAAGGGATGATCAGCCCAGAGTCAGATGCAGATCTTCTAATCCTCTCCTTCCTGGATTAGCTTGGCTATTGTCTCTTCTCCATTGCTCCTGATGCTTGGAGCATCCTTGTGTGCAGGTGGCAGATAGAATGGAGATGACCCGTGGTAGGAGTGTGGGTCAAACCCTTTCCTTCTCTCAGTTTGATTCCTAATTCAAAGCTGCATCATCTGGACTCAAACTCTCTGTGCAGGTCTGGGACATCCAGTGCAGGCTTTGTGCCACTAATTTTAGTTTTTAGTTGTACAAAAAGCAAAAGTGAAATGTCTAGAAGTTTCTAACACTTTGTTTATTCAGCTAAATGATTTGTTTCATTTCTGCTGTGATTTCAAGGCCTGCTGAGTCAGTGTCACTTTCTCATGGAGTTTGGTGAGTCCTGCACAAGGCTCTTGCATCAGTTTCTTCACTGCTGGAGCAGAACTCTACAAAGCCCTCGGTGGAGGCAGGGCAGGAGCAGAGGAAAGCTTTGATTCCAGAGGAGATGTGGTCAGAGGTTTGAAAGGAGAGTGGTTAGTTTAAATAGATTGTTTTGGCTGAAATGGTCTGTGGAGAACAACTTGGCAGAGTGACTTGGCTGTTCATTAACATCTCCTCCAGGGTGCCAGTGGGTGGGACTACATCCCACTGCCTTTGCTTCTGCCTCTTTGGAGATGTGGGAAATTTAGATGGCAGCATCTTACACCTTTCAGGTCATTGCCCTTGCCCCTGGTGTGGTGGAAAAGAGCATAGTGTCTTAGCATCGCACACACCTGATCCCTAGAACTTTTCACTGGCCTGACAGGAACACCATGGCAAAAATCAGATTGGCAGGATATTGGTTAGTCAATTGTTGGGGTCCTTTTGAGTAACGGACTACAGCACACCAGTATGATATAAAATAGCCAATTTTATTATGGTCACCTAACAGTTTTTATAGTATAAAGTCTCCTGTACATGCAGCCACGCTCTGATCACATGATTTTTGTTTGGTTCCTCCCTTTGGCCAAACGTACAATTCTTACTTGTGATAGTTTACAATTTTAAGCTGTATCCCACTCTCACATCCTGGGAAACTGATAGCAAGGGTTACATAGTATATATGAGAAGATAATTAGTGGCACTATTCTAGCTTGTTAGCAAAACGACTTCTCTGTAAGACTGTAATAATAACCAGACCTAAAAACCCTGGCAGCAGGAGAAAACAAGACCATTATAAAGTGATGGATTGAAGCCACAGGAATGCTTGAAGCCAGAAACAAGGTCAGCAAGACCTACATTTTGTGTCTTATTTAAATTGCTTGAGCATTCCTTTAACTTGCTCAAGTTACAGCTCCTCAGCTAGCCAGGTCCCAACATTGGAGCATCCTTGTGTGTAGGTGCCAGATAGAATGGAGATGACCCGTGGTAGGAATGTGGGTCAAACCCTTTCCTTCTCTCAGTTTGATTCCTAATTCAAAGCTGCAGACATCTGGACTCGAACTCTCTGTGCAGGTCTGGGACATCCAGTGCAGGCTTTGTGGCCATTGATTTTATTTTTTAGGTGCATAAAAAGCAAAAGTGAAATGTCTAGAAGTTTCTAACACTTTGTTTATTCAGCTAAATTGTTTGTTTCCTCATTTCTGCTGTGATTTCAAGGCCTGCTGAGTCAGTGTCACTTTCTCATGGAGTTTGGTGAGTCCTGCACAAGGCTCTTGCATCAGTTTCTTCACTGCTGGAGCAGAACTCTACAAAGCCCTCGGTGGAGGCAGGGCAGGAGCAGAGGAAAGCTTTGATTCCAGAGGAGATGTGGTCAGAGGTTTGAAAGGAGAGTGGTTAGTTTAAATAGATTGTTTTGGCTGAAATGGTCTGTGGAGAACAACTTGGCAGAGTGACTTGGCTGTTCATTAACATCTCCTCCAGGGTGCCAGTGGGTGGGACTACATCCCACTGCCTTTGCTTCTGCCTCTTTGGAGATGTGGGAAATTTAGATGGCAGCATCTTACACCTTTCAGGTCATTGCCCTTGCCCCTGGTGTGGTGGAAAAGAGCATAGTGTCTTAGCATCGCACACACCTGATCCCTAGAACTTTTCACTGGCCTGACAGGAACACCATGGCAAAAATCAGATTGGCAGGATATTGGTTAGTCATAGTCTTTGGGGAAACCTTAGAGCCATTTCCAGTGCCTAAAAGGGCTACAGGAGAGCTGGAGAGGAACTTTGGAGTGCCAGGACAAGGCGAATGGCTTCCCACTGCCAGAGGGCAGGGCTAGATGGGATATTGGGAAGGAATTCTTCCCTGTGAGGGTAGTGAGGCACTGGCACAGGTTGTTCAGATAAACTCCATCCCTGGAAATGTTCCAGGCCAGGTTGGATGGGCCTTGGAGCAACCTGGGCTAGTGGAAGGTGTCCCTGCCCATGGCAGGGAGTGAAACTTGATCACCTTCATCTCCTTTGCAAGCCAAACTATCCTGTGATTCCATGATAAAGAAAGGACAAACTTTTCTGTGGGTGAGATGTTCTGCTCTTGAAGCTGCAGGATGTCTGCTGGGTTTCAGTCACACCATGTCTTTCCACTGTGGACCTGCCAGGTAGGCCCTGCCTCAGCTGACAGAGGAGCTGCTTATTCTCTTCTTCTTGGGCTGTCAGGAAAGGTCTTGCTGTTAAAACAGAGCAGGTTACTAAAAATTAATCAGACACACACCCCCTTAAGTAAGGGCTGTGCCAGGAGAATCCTCTAGCAGAGATCAACACAGGGAAGCAGTTTTGCAGTAAAGTTTATCTGGGAGATTTTACTTAAGTGGCCCGTGCCAAAACCTAATCTAAAGCTAATGTAAACTGTTTCCAGTGAAGGAGTTTGAGTGTGGCTAGACTGCCTTCACTGTTTAAGGAACCCACAGGGCAAACAGAGCCTTTGCCAGGTAAATAGAAAGAAAAAAACCTCTGTGGACTAAAGTGATCTTGAGAACACTCATCTCTTTCCAGTGCAGCTGCAGGGACTTGAAAGACTTGCTCAGAACAAGAGAAGCAGAGCCCACCCCAGCAGGAGACCTTAATGAGGGAGAATATTTCACTTTCCTGGGGGAATGGTGGGGTCAGCAGCACTCAGCCTCCTTTGAACAGAGCAGAGGGATCTCTGCTATGCTCTGGCTGGTGGTGTCTTGGATGCAGTGCTCGACAGCCAGAGCTATTCCCTAATCCTGGGCTTAATCTTGGCAGAAATAAGTATATTATTTTTAATGGTCCCATTTCAGGGAGCAGATAGTCCTCCTCGAACTGCACCTTGCTCTTTCAAATCCCCAAAGAAATGCTCTGTTGCAGCCTGTGAAGTTCACACCTCACCTGAGCCCACAGTGCAGCACAGAGCAGCACTAGCACCTTCCTGGGGGTGTGTGGCTCTGAGCTGCTTCCTGTGGGCTGAGGTTTGCATGGAAACAATCCACCTCAGGGCTGTGAATGTGAGCTTCACACTCCAAAACACTAGAGCCAGCTGTGATTCCAAGTCAGGGCCACTTGGAAAAGAACAGGTATTTGGAAGAGGCAAAGAAACAGAGTACCAAAAGCTCCTGTCATGTGCAGCTATGTTTTCCCAGCACTTTTCCTTCAGGAAATTAGGAAAATTACCAATGACCACAGTAGGCCAAGGCTGGGATTTTCTTCTGCTCCTATAGAATGCAGGGAATCAACACTGCCTCATTCCCAGTGGTGCTGGAAGCTGGGAGAACATGATTTGTCCCATCAGCTGCTGCTGTTTGAGAGAACTCCTGGGAGGCTGGAAGTTCCAGCAGTTGGTTTTAGCAGGGATGCACACACTGATTGCTTCATCAATGTTCTACCTCAGGCCACAGTTTTCCAGCAGGAAGGAGTTGCTAGTTTCTCCCCATCTCTGTTGGGCCAACAGAACCACACAGTGGGTTCTATGAGCTGCTGGAAGCAGCAGGCAGTGGCTGAAAGTGGAAAATACCATGGAAAAGGGATTTTTCTTACTGTCATCATTGGCCTGAGGTGCATCTTCCACATTAGCAGTCTTCAGAGTGCTCCCTGCATGTGTTGTCCTGGCTGTTGACTGGTTTAAGGAGCAGCCTTGTGAGGCATTGAGGGTGGAAGTCCAGTTGGATGAGTGTTCAGGGCATGCAGAGCCACTGGGACACTGGCTGTGCTTTGGGGCTGATCTGGTGTTGGCACCTCTGACTCACTGCCTGTGACAGGAGCTGTTGGCAACATTTCTCAGAGCTACACCACATGTAGAAGGCAGGAAAAAACAACCTTTTCCCACTTGTTAAGATGTGTGCAGGAGGAAATGAGAGGCTCACGTGTCGTAGGGCACCCCAGCACCTTCCAAGTGTGTGTGTGTCAGATAAACACCTGAGGGATGGGACACGGTTTCCCCAGTAGATGCCAATGCTGAAGGTTCCAGTAGCTTTCAGCAGGGCAGACAGGTTTGTCTGAGATTCCAGAGAGAACCTTCCTTTCACCCAGTCTCTTTGTGGGAGCCACTGGGTTACTGCACCCTGTGCTAGGAACATACCCACACAGAGGTTTTCTTCTTCCCATCTCACCTTGACAGGAAGGATGGCTGCAACAGACAGCTCCAACTTGCTTCTGGAAAGACCAGCAAGTCTCCTGAACACTGTTTTCAAAAGTACCATCCCATAGTCTGTAGCTTCTTTGGGGCTAGGAGATCATGGAGAGAGAGAGAGAGAAAGTTGGTGCAGGAGGAGACAGACAGGTGCACAGTGTGATCCAGGAAATCCTACTCTGTGTTCCAAAGCTGCTTTTCCCTGAGAATCCTGGGGCAGCAGAGGTGGGTGCTGGCCCTCAGCAGCTCTTTTGATCACTCAGCACTGAGCTTCCTCTTGGCTTCCAGTGTGGGAAGAGCAATCCATGCCAGCATTCCCCCTTGGCAGTGTGGCTCAGGGAATCCACTGAGGTTTCTCCTCCCTTTGGCAGGTGTGGCTGAGGATGAAAGGGCATCTTTCACAGGGCTCTGCTTGGCTGCTTCTTGCTGTCCCTTTGAAGTTCTGTGCCGAGCTACACCTCCTTGCCAGCTGCACTGTCCTCACTGCTGTCCTTTCTGTGAACATGTTTGCCAGGTGTAGGTTGGCATGGAATGAGTCTCTGGCTCTTGTGGATACCTGTGGTGGCCTGGCCTGTCAGCTGGGAATAGGGAAAGCCCTGTGAGAAGCCACCGAGCTTGGAAAATTGTCCTCAAGTCTAACCATTGGTCTTTCTTTCTGCTTAGCTCGAGGTGAAGGTGGTCACAACTGAGAGAGCAAAGCACTTCTACAACACTCGGGAGATTCCTGTCCCCCTCTACAGTGATGAAGATGAGTGGCAGGTGAGTTGTTCTTGCATGTAGAAGCATTTGGAGAAGAGAAGGTTGTGTGGATACCTCAGAGCAACGTGACAGGACAAGGAGCAATGGGGAGAAATTGAAAGAGGGAAATTTAGATTAGATCTTAGGCAGATGTTTTCCCTGTGAGGGTGGTGAGACACTGGCACAGGTTGCCCAGGGAGGCTGTGGCTGCCCCAACCCTGGCAGTGTTCAAAGCCAGGTTGGGTAAAGCCTTGAGCAACCTGCTCTGGTGGGAGTTGTCCCTGCCCAGGGCAGGGGGTTGGGACTGGATGATCTCTAAGGTCTATTCCAACCCCTTAACAGTCTATGGAACTATGAGTCCTCTAAGTTTCTTTGCAAGCAACCACAGTTATTTCTTTTGAAAATCCTAGGCCAAGACTCACCTCTTTGGTCTAGTAATGTCTGTTTGGAAAATGACATTTGAAGAACATGCTGTGAGCCAGGAGGAAGGGAAAGCTGTGCTGTTGGGGTGGAGGATTTTTTCCTGTCACAGCAGTCCTACTGCAGGCAGAGAGGGTGACAGTGGTCCCTGGGCTCAGCTGCTGGGAGAGGAGTGTCAGGAAATGTCAAGAAAGCCACTGCAGAGCTGTGGTGAGTGTGTGGTGCTTGGCGTGAGTCATGCTTGTCACACAGGCAGCAGCTCCATGCTCAGCTCTCAGGGCTGTCAACAGCTCTCCATGCTGTGAAATGCCTTTTTCTCCTGGCTATGGTTTTGCTGAGCATCCTTGAGTATGAAGAGGTTTGCTGTAGATTCAGCAAGGTTTGTTTTTCCATACATCTTATCTCTACTTTGCAGTACTGATCCAAGGACAAAATGCTCTACTCTTCCCACTGCACCTGCCAATGCACTCACACATGAGCATTGCTGCAAGTGGAGAGAGATATGCCAATGGCAACAGCCAGGAAGCTTTTTGGCTGGTCTAGTAGATTGGTGGAGATCTACTGGATCCCAAGGTGCTACAGGTCCAGGCAGTTATTCCTGAGGAGCCCTGAGTGGGGTGGTAGAAGGTACAGGTCGAGCTTTGAGGTTTGCTGGCACTCTGGAGAGCAGGCACTGAGCCCTTAGTGTGGGAAATGAGCCTGCTCAGCATCTATTGGGGAGATACTTCACTCTGACAATAACAATACCATTTTCAGTGCTACTATTAAAAACCAGAAGTGAGTGGAGGAGGTAGGACAGGGCTTCAGGAAGCCCCAGCTTCCCGGATGTTGTCTTTTTGTTGTGGTTTCCCATGACTCAGAGAAGGAGCAGTTTGTGGCCCTGATGCACCCCATGCTGGCCTGTGGTTGTGTGTCCTCTGGGGATTAAGCACCTGATGCTGTTTGCTGCTGAGCTCTTAAGTTCAGGATTCTATCGGGCAACTCAGGACTTTAGTGAAAATAGAAATATTCACTCAAGAATGAGTATTTCAAGGAGAAGCTGTGGCTGTGCCATCCCTGGAAGTGTTTCAGGCCAGGTTGGACAGGGCTTGGAGCAACCTGGGCTAGTGGAAGGTGTCCCTGCCCATGGCAGGGGATGAAATGGAACGAGCTTTAAGGTCTGTTCAACTCTATGCATTCCATAATTCTAAGAGCCAAGAGAGGAGGGAAATACTTAGTTGGCCAAACCTCTTCCATCCCAATGAAAGCCAACAAGACTGTTCCCTGCAGTACCTCAGAGGTTTCTCTTTGCTGCTGTGAGTGTGAGTAGGGGAGTGCATCCTAATTAAATTGCCTTGTGCAGTCAGGGGTGCAAACCTCATTAAAAGCCACTGGACAGCTTCACCTCAGTGTGAAACTTATAAATTCCATGGGTTCTCCAGGAAATGTAACCCTGGATTGGTGCTGGCTGGTAGGATGGAGCTCTGCTCTCTGCTCCAGCATGTTGAGGGAGCTCTTAGGAATAATTCCATAGCTGAGGGATGCTGTGGATGGGGAAAACTCCTTCCTGTGAGGTGAAACCTATGGCTGTCAGAGGTGTGAACTGTCTCTGCAGGGAGAGAATCCCACACATCAGATTCCACACATCTCTGCCATCCCTTAGCTGTGCCTCCTAACCACAGGAGTGTGTTTGCTGGGGTGGGATTGGTGAGGCTCCCAGCACTCCCTGTGGGGTTGGTTTGGTGATGTCCATGCTGTCTCCCTGCCCTGCAGCTGTGGAAAGGTCGCTCAGACCCTGTTCTGCACATCGAGCTGCGGCGCTGGGCTCACCTCATGGTGGTGGCACCCCTGGATGCCAACACGCTGGCAAAGGTGGCCAATGGCATCTGTGACAACCTCCTGGTGAGTAACCAGTACCGCTCCTGTCACCCCCTACATCTGTCTGACCTCTCCTTCCTGGAAACTTGTGCTTCTGCAGCATCACAGACAGTGAGATTTGCATGTTCTGCTCCCACTTCATCTGCTTGTCTCTCTCTTCCTCAGGATGGTTCTTCTCAAACAGTGGTTCTCTCCTTCCCTCATCCACTGCCATTCCCAGTCCTCAGCTCTCAGTTTCTTCCCTTATTTCCTAGTCCCTGATTTGTGCCTTTCCTGCTTTTTCTGGAGGGTGATAGTTCTTTCTACCTCCATCCTCTCTCTATCCTTTGTGTACACACACACTCACTTTTGAGTTCCTCTCTGCATTTTTTCAGTGCTATCTGGAAAGACACCTGCGAGATCAGATAAAACTGTTTACTTCCTGCTTCCTCACCTCCTCCCTCACCTAACATTCAAACATGCTCACACTCACCTTCCAGTCTCAGCTACGGAGTATTTTGCTTGTTCAGGCTTGGTGTTTTGGTATTTCAAGTGCTCTTTAGGCTCTTCAGGCTAATCAAAAAGGTGTATTAAAAGAGAATATGCTTCTCTGTTGGGTGCTGGGCACCTTCAGCAGGGCTCAATGCTTTGTGGCCAGGCATTAACCACACAAAAGATCTGCATGACTGACAACCTTTTGGGTAAGAAAAACCTATAAATGAACAAAATCCACCCAGAGCAGATCTCTAGGGATCTGAGAGGAGCCAGAAAGAGCTGTGGAAGGGACAATTGATGTCTTGTCCTTCTGGGGCCCCTCACTACCATGGAGTGATGATTTAGCAGAGGGAAGAGCCCAGGAAGGATGTCAGGGATTCATGGCTTCACAGATTCCTGCCAGGCTTTTCAGAGAGCCTTGTGAAGGGAAGAGGTTCCTCCTCCAAAGGAAAGCAAGTGCTGGAGGTGCTGGTTGGCAGCTTAGAACAGATTCCAGCAGATTTCCCTGAGCTGGGAAGGTTCAAGTCACAGGACATAAACAAGGATGGGCACAGCCCAGCACCAGGGACTGCTGCTCCCTGGGGAGCTCCTTGGCACGACTGAAATGCTGCTAGGCCTGGGAAAACTGATGGATATTGTGTCAGGAACAAGCAGCATTTCTCTTTCTAAGGAGCTGAGGTAATAACTGGGATATGATTCCCTGTAGCACACAGGAGCTGCTTGATGATTTGTTCTTTTCCAGCACCTCCTGCAGCAGCCCAGGTGTGTTCTGCTTGTATCCTAGAAGCAGCAGTGCTTCCCTGGTGAGGAGTCATGGATCCAGCTGGCATATCCCTTCATAAGGACTCTCTTGCTAACTTCCAGTGTTCAGTTTTGCAGCTTTTCTGAAGGTGTTGCCCAGGGATCTGTGGTCACCCCTCAGCTTCTCTGTTTCCCCCATGGGCTGGCAGGCTGCACACATCCTATTCCAGCTTGGTTTGCTCCAGCCTGGGCTGTTTGCTTGGATGAGCAGGATGGGATCTCTCCTCTTTGGAGCCTCCCTCAGCTTTCCTGCCCCTCAGAGAGGAGCTTGGCTGGAATGTGATACAAATGAGGCTCAGCCTCATGGGTTAGCCCAGCTGTGCTGACAGAGTGAGGCTTTTGGCCTCAAAGCATCACCCAGGCTGGGAGAGCACTCCTGTACAGCAGAGGGCTGGGAAGGAAGGAGGAAATCCAACCCATGTCTTGGCCTCTCTCACAGACTTGTGTCATCCGCGCGTGGGACTTGAGCAAACCTCTGCTCTTCTGCCCAGCCATGAACACAGCCATGTGGGAACATCCCATCACTGCTCGGCAGGTGGAGCAGCTCAAAGGCTTTGGCTACACCGAGATCCCCTGTGTGGTGAAGAAACTGGTGTGTGGAGATGAAGGTCAGTCCTTTTCCCTGGCTCCTGCCCCTCTCCCTACCCTAACCCTCAAATCCCAAAGGAACGTGTTCCTTTGCCACGTAGTCTCCAAGGTATCCAACTGCAGGTGTACAAAGCTGAAGCTTTTCCCTCTATCTATTATTATTCCTCTTCATTAATTTCTGAGTAGCATTAAGAGCCCATCCAAGCCTGAGATTGCCCAGAAATGCTCATTGAAGGGGAGAGGAGATCAAAGAGAAGGAAAGCTCTGCCCTCAGCCTTATCAGCCTGGGATTTGAGTGTCCTGACTTCGTCCTCTGCTGTGATTGAGAGCTGTTCTCCTCGTGCCTCAGTTCCTCAGCTCTGTCATCAGGATAAAATCTTATCCCTGAGAGCAGCCAGTGAGCAAAGCCCTTTGCACATGTGGCCGAGGGCGTAGCTGGACACACATTAAATGTTGTTGTTGTTGCCTGGGCTACTTTGCAGCTTCTCAATGGAGTTCTGAGTTGACATCAGACTTCTCTGGGAGGTGAAGGAGGAGAGTGGGGGAAGTTGTCATGCTCAGATTCAATAGATTTCATTTGCAGTGCAATTAAACACTACTGAAATGGTCTCATCTGCATTTTAGGAGATGATGTCCATGAAGGTATTTTGACTTGTGGGAAGGTTGGAGAAAGGGTTTGATACAAACCATTTGGATGAATGGATTTGCTCATTTATTAGGATTTTATTGGACAAATTCCCAGCTGCAGTCATAAATACAAACATGCTACTACTTGCATAGTACTATACTTCTAACTTCATGGACCAACTCCAACCCCTGCAGGATTTTAACCTGTCAGTCCAATAAACAGTTTGTAGCAAAGACAGGGGGTTCAAAGGGCCTTCACAGTTAAATCCTAGGGCTGGCTTAGTTTGGGAATCCTTAGGGAGGTACAAAGCCTCCAGAGAGTGGTTTGTTTGGAGCTGAGAACTAGGAAATATTTACAATTAGGTAAGAGTAGTCAAGTAACTAACTGAGGCATCAGTTGAAATGTCCTGGATGATTATCCTTCCACTGGGATTTTAGACATGATTACATCAAATTTCTTCATATCCAGCTCAACTGTGAGAGCAAAGTCCTACAGGGATGGAGGAGAGGGATGGCATGGATAGCTGGGGCAGGAGTAACCACATCTGACTCGACTCCACTTGTGTCTGTGAGTCAATTCACAAGAAGATTTTCCTGTTGGCAAACCCCAAGGATTTTCCTGGCAGTTTGGAGGGAAATTATGGCAGTAATGGATTCCACCTCTCTGAAGATCCGAACTAGTCACCACCACTGACTTTTTTCATCCCTTCCCCACTCTTTTCAGGCCTTTCACCTTCCACACTGAGTTTGGTTTTGTGGGTTCCATCCCCACAGAGCTTTGCCCCAGCAGCAGGTAGCAAAGCTCCCACATCTGCTGCAGAAGAAAGAAGATTCAGTTTGCCCCAGTTTTGACTGTTGACACTGTGGTTTGCTTTGCTGCAGAAGAGCTTTATCTTCCTCAACCCATGTGGTTGGTCCCCCTGAAAGGAGCCACTGCCACTGAGTTTCTGCGTTCCAAGCTTTAGCTGATCCATTTGTTTCTCTTAACACATGGGTTTGGACAGAAAATGCAGCTTAAAGAGTGTTAAAATAACCAGTGAAATGGAGTTGGGTTCCTTCACTGGATAAGTTTCCATGCTGGCACTATCTCCATCATGCTTGGCTTTCTCAAGCCTGGCATGCTGGCAGCTTTCTGTAGCTGTGGTTGGCAAGATTTGGCTTTGCTAAACCTAAAAATTCACCTATGAATTGCCAGAGCTGTTGAAAAATTGGCTGGTGGAGGAGGAGGAAGGCATTGGGAGGGTTCTGGAAGGCTGGAGCTCTGCCAGACTGCAGAGGTAGGCAGGGGAGTTTGTCTTCTTCAGCTGCACTTGTCAAGTGCAGTTCCTCCTCGAGGTTAGGAGAAGAGAAGGGCCCAAATCTGCCTGCAGCTTGTCCACAGGATGCTCCAGACCTCCTGGGGTTTACAGAATGGGAAAAGAGGAAAGAAAAACCTCCCAGGACTATTTCCTGATGAGCACAAGGCATTTATCTTAAATGATAAGAGCAATTAGCCAGCAGGACAAAAAAAATCAATAGACTCTCTCCTTTCAGTCCTCCAATGGAGTTAAATCCTGTGGGAGAAGCATCATTCCTCAGCTCCAAACAAATGTCAGGAGCAAATGGAGTGAGTTCTGAGGATTCAGCAAGGTTGGACAAAATGATTTAATCATCTCTAGCCTTAAAACTCTGACCCTGAGCTTTTAAAGCATTTCAGAGGTGTAGATTAGATGTTCATCTGGCAACTAAGCAGTCCAAAAGGAAAAGCTTTTCCATTTCCAAGCACTCAGGCTTCTTCAAGAGTTACTCCCAAGGTTCAAGCTGGTGGGAATCCAGGACAGCTCTAACTGCAGAGTCATGGGAATGCAATGGATTCACCAAGTCTTTTGTATAGGCAAAGCCCATTTCAACAAGATACTGAAAACACACAATGTTGATGCTGGAGAAGGGAGGGGAAAGAGGGAATTTTGCTCCACACACACTTTTTGGGGAAGTTTTGCACATTTTCCTCCTTCCTGGATCTCACCATGTACCTTTGCTCTTGCCCTGCAGGCCGAGGTGCCATGGCAGAAGTATGGACCATCGTGGAGAGAGTTAAAAGGAGCCTTGAAGAACTGCATGTGCCAAGGCAGAGCTGATGTTTTGGCACGTAAATGGTGGTTCTGTGCCTTCCTGAGGCTTTGGAGATAAAGCCAGCAGGAAGCTGAGCCCTGCATACCTCTGGCATGCACACACACAGCTGCTCTTCAACCCAAGGAGCCAACGGTTGTCTTCCAGCTGGTGCCAAACTGAACTATGGTACATCACCACAGGCTTTGAACAACCAAAGCCAAGAATGTGCTGCTTTAGTGTGGCAAACTCTAAAGTGGTGTTTAAAGCTCTAAAGGTGGTACCTTGCAGAGAGGGAGGAATGTTCCCAAGGCTGCTCAGTCCCCAGAAGTTCTCATGTGCTCCATCCTGAGGAGGCTGCAGGAGGTATTTCAGCTCCAGTGGGTTCCCCAAGAACTTCCAGAGAGGAAAATGCTGTGCAAATCCTTGTGGGGGGATAATGCCAGCTCCTTCCAACATGTGTGTTTTGGACTATCCCTGTTCTCCAAAGCCTGGGCTGTA